GGAACAGGAGCTGGGCCTGGATTTGGAGGTGGAACCGGAACAGGAGCAGGGCCTGGATTTGGAGGTGGAGGTGGAACAGGAGCCGGGGCTGGAGTGGGCAGCAGCATACCTGGTGCTGGTAAACAGTACACCTTTCCTAACTCATCATACGATGTACAATGGAATCTATAAAGAAAGCATTTCTAAAGTATTTTACCATGTTTTGTAGTCATTATTAACTGTTAATATTTAGTATTTGTGGTACGCCTATCCTGACCTTATTATGTGCCATAGGCTATGGACCCGGCTCAGCCAAAGCGCGCAAATATGGTGAGACAAATGTGAAGCCAAAACAATGCTGCGAGGATGTAGTTTTTGCATTCAGTAATTGTGAAACTACATCCTTCCCATGTAATACAGGCCCTGGTGCAGCTGGAGTTGGTCTCGGCACAGGAGGAAGGCCTACCTATGGAACTGGGACGGGTGGAGGCTATGGCGTCAGCTCAGGCGGTGCGGGTACTGGTGTAGCTGGAGGTCCTGGAGGTGGAAGAATTGGAGGTGGAGCTGGCCTTGGAACAGGTGTAGGACCTGGCTCAGGCACTGGTTTTAGTTCAGGTGGGGCTGGCACTGGGCCAGGTAGTCTTGGCTATGGTCCAGGAGGTGTTGGGACTGGATCAGGAGCATCGGGAACTGGACCTGGAGGTAATTATGGATTAGGAGATATCTGGCTCTGAGGAATTTTGAAAACAACAATCAAACACTCATTAGATATGTTTTTATCAGCAATAGAACCTTCTATTTTAGCAAAGAAATGTGCCTTATTTCCATCTGTGAATTTCAGGGTATGATGCAAGTGCCAAAGCTCGGAAATATGGTAAGACCTATCAGCTCATTCAACACCTGGAAGCCACTGCAATACTGGAGAATATCCGGGCAAATATAACATGATGGTTCTGCTCTATATAGGCATGTTAAGTGGAGCTCTTGGAGGGCCAGGACTGGGAACTGGAGCAGTCAGGCCAGGTGGTGCAGGCACTGGCTATGGACCGGGTGGAGTTGGACCAGGTGGTGCAGGCCCTGGCTATGGACCAGGTGGAGTTGGACCAGGTGGTGCAGGCACTGGCTATGGACCGGGTGGAGCTGGACCAGGGGGTGCAGGCACTGGTTATGGACCGGGTGGATTTGGACCAGGGGGTGCAGGCACTGGTTATGGACCAGGTGGGGCTGGACCAGGGGGTGCAAGCACTGGTTATGGACCGGGTGGATTTGGACCAGGGGGTGCAGGCACTGGTTATGGACCGGGTGGAGTTGGACCAGGTGGTGCAGGCGCTGGCTATGGACCAGGTGGAGTTGGACCAGGGGGTGTGGGCACTGGCTATGGACCGGGTGGAGTTGGACCAGGGGGTGCAGGCACTGGTTATGGACCGGGTGGAGCTGGACCAGGGGGTGCAGGAACTGGCTATGGACCAGGTGGAGCTGGACCAGGTGGTGCAGGCACTGGTTATGGACCGGGTGGATTTGGACCAGGGGGTGCAGGAACTGGGTATGGACCGGGTGGAGTTGGACCAGGTGGTGCGGGCACTGGTTATGGACCAGGTGGAGTTGGACCAGGGGGTGCAGGCACTGGTTATGGACCGGGTGGAGTAGGACCAGGTGCAGGCACTGGCTATGGACCAGGTGGAGCTGGAACTGGCTATGGACCCGGTGGTAAGGCAAAAATTCATTCAAAAGGACTGACCTCCAACATATCCTTTGGTTCATTCAGTGTTTTCTAAAATGATGATGTATTTACAGGTTATGCAGGTGCCAAAGCTCGTAAATATGGTGAGATGCAAATTTGAAAAACCTATGACACTTCCACTAAATGGGAAATTTGATTAAATCTATATCTATTAGATTTTATTTATTAAAATAAAATCCACTTAAACTTAATTCATTATTGAATTTCTACGCTGGTACAATGCAGTCTTATTACCTCCTGTTTTAAATGCATTTTTGCTGCATGTAGGTGTGCCTGGAGGAGCAGGAGGTACCCTTGGTGCTGGAGGTCTTGGGGGTGGAGTTGGGACCGGTTCCGGTGGGCTCATACCTGGACGGGGTGTTGGAGGGACAACTGGTGGTGGACCTGGAGCGGGAGTTGGAACGGGAGGGACACCTGGTTCTGGCGTTGGAACAGGTGGTGGACCAGGTGGCTTTGGACCAGGCAGGGCTGGAGGTATAGATAGAAAATTGATCTTCCTCTGAAACTATCCATAAAAAGTACTTAACGGTAAAGACTTTTAACTGCTTAATACATGTTTTTAAAACATATGGTTGTTGGGCTTAGTCAAAAGTTAAATTAGAGGAATCTTAAAATAAGCATACATATTGAAACTCATAAGCTTAATGGGACATAAATCGAGTTGAGTGTATGCAAACAATTCAGACATACCCTAATATGATGCACTCTGTGTGTGTCTTTCACAGGATATCCTGGAGGAGCCAAGTCTCTAAAATATGGTGCGATTTCTGCAATGTGTTGCATGTATTATGTCTGCATTTATAGCTGAGCTAGTATGGCCTGTGAAATCAGTGATAGATGATCAGATGATGCTCACATTTAAACAAAAAAAATCCTGTGTGTGTGTATATATATATACATGTATAGGGTTGCCTGGTGGCGCCGCCGCCCCTGGATCTGGAGGTCCTGCAGCAGGTGGCTATGGCCCAGGGAGTGGCGTAGTATTGGGGACTGGCAGAGGATACGGACCTGGAGGATACGGACCAGGAGCTGGATCAGTAGCTGGAACTGGTTATGGACCTGGGGGAGGTTATGGCAGAGGACCAGGGACAGGATATGGAACAGGTTCAAAGGGGAAATACTTCCTTCAAAACTTCAGCTAGAATAACATTTTATCTGATCAGAGTTATGTTAAATAAATGACTTATTTATGGTTTGATTGTGAATGTACACCTTTTCTTTTCCAATGACATGGCTTTGGACAGGAGACTCTGGAACTGGCACTGGTGGTCCAGGTGGGTTTTCAAACGTTTGTTTCTTTTATAGGGGCATTGAAAATCTACATGTTATTGAAATAAAGTGTGTTTTTTGTTCAACTTATGCAACAGTTTAACATTTTTCTTGCTTGAAATTAACAATAAGAAAATTGATCACCTTTGAATCGAAAATCTAGTTACCCTAAGAACCACAATCTCCAACCTCACTGACCACCTCTCTCGTCTTTAGAAATCTTTTTTTGTTGTTGTGATCCTTAGGTTATGGTACTGCTGGATCTAAAGCAGCTAAATACGGTAATATGTGACTTTTCTGGATATAGAATAATGCATGCATTGTATTGCAGCTTTAACACAATAACTGAATTGTTCATATCACTTGAAATGAATTGTATGAATTGTAGGGCAAGCCGGTGCAGTTGTACCTGGGGCAGGACCAGGGGCCGGCTCTGGTGTTTCAGTGAATGGGACCCACACTCCTGGCGGAGCAGGATCAACAACTGGGCCCAGTGGTAAGCCTCTGATTTGTTTATGGAGAATACCCATTGCAGCTACTGTAAATTTACAATAAAAAATTATACAAGCTTTTTATAATAATCTATCTGTACAGGATCAGGAGGAGGACTTGGAGTGATAGGTGGTGCACCAACACCAGCACCAACAGGTACAGTGTCTATACAATGTTGTAAAGCACACACAGAAACCAAAACATTTCCCGTTTTACAATAATACATGTACTTAAAAAGTTTCAAGCACATTCATTTTAACATTTGCCTTTGATTTTACTTAGCATAGCTAAAATATTGTGTTTTCCGTTTATTCTTTATCTGACAGTTTTTCTTTGTATTTGTTCCTCATTCCAGGGGATGGAGGTACTAGCAGTGTGATGGAGGGGTCTGGAATTCCTGGAGGAGAAGGTGTGATATTGGACATGCTCCATGGTCCTGATTTGTGAAAAAGGAACAAAACAACATAAAATATATTCACTTGAAAACATATTGCCACATTTCATGTTCAAAAGTGTCCAAATCTGGCCCATCCATTTTTAAACAGGAGGCACTGGTTTAGGTGGCAGAGCAGTGGGAGGCGAGGGTGTACTGAATGGAACAGGAATCCCCATCATGGGAGCAAAGCCAGGTATTTTCATCATTCACATGTGTGTCCTGCCTCTTGTAGCATGTCTGTCAGCTGGACTTGTACTTGTGGCATTTCATTGCTAGGTGTTTGTTAGACTTCTCAAACAGCACCACCCTGTGGGATTTAAGAAGCTCTTTACCTTTTCACATTGCACGCCCAAATCTTTAACTGTGGGAGAAGATCCCTGCAGTCCATTACTGCTATTTGCCCCTCGCAATAAAATCCAAGTTTCATTCTTTTTTTTAATTTAGGAAATTTGGGGTACAAAAAGCAAATGTGGATAATTCTAAATGTCAACTATGAAAAACCTATGTAATCTATGAACTATGTTCTGACAAAGTATTTCAATTAATGTGAAGTGATAAAGTGATTTACTTCAATAACGATTTGATGTGTTTTTATCCAGGTTCTACAAGAGCTACCCCAAGTAAGTTAGCATTAAGAATAATAAACACATAATAATCTAAATCATTTAAACAGTAAAGGACAAAAGATGTTTTAATTTTAGCACTACTACTTTACTACATTTTCAGAGCCATCTACTTTTCTTCATTGTCTTTTTGCAGATTTTACATCAGAGATCGGTACACTAGTCATAGACTGAAGTATTAAGATTTTTCCTTGAAAACATTAGCATCTGAAGTTAAAAGGCATTTCTTTCTTTACAGTTGATGGTGACGCCGCACAACCAAGTGGTAGGTGTACACTATTAAATACTTAGGGGGATTTGGAAGCTATTGTCAAGATTTCATTTAATACTTTTTCCCTTGTTTCATACAGCTGGGGCAGGAGTTGGTAAGTCAGCCTTTGAAACTCACTTAAAAAAATAAACTTCAGTGTAGTTTTTTGGCTACTACTCCTGACTTTTCTTTGTCTGAAAACCAGGTGGAACAGGACTTCCCCCTGGAGGTGAGATTTATCCCACAGTGCTGACTAATTCATTGCTTTACACCCTTCAGTGCATTTCTCTCTGCACACACGAGCTGAAATTATTTGTATTTTTTAAACATGATTTTTTAAAATTCCATATTTCATTCTTATCGTTTTAGCAGGTTCTGGTGGTAATGTCTCAAGTGGTGCTCTGCCTGGAGCCAAACCTCTCAAACCTCCAGGTGAATTAATTATTGCAAAACATACTTTTTTAACGTCGACTATTCAGATTTCTGTCCATTCCAATAACAACAACATTCAGAAGTTGTGAAATACAAGGACCATTTCTGAAATGTCTTACATGCTGTTAATATGAGATCACACAAGATCTTTGTTTCCTGATTACCCCCTGTAGTCCCTCCATGAATTTGGCTTACAAACTACGCTTTTGGAAGTATTAGTTTTGTTCTTTCAGTTTCACACTGTAATCAGTTTGCATGATAATTTTTCGTTCCAATTCTGAAAGTCCCTCGAGGTGATACACCAGGTGAAGGAGATGGGGAAGGAGGTCCTGATGGAGAGAGAGGTGGTACAACTGGAAGACCAGGAGGAGTTGGGGGGAGTTCTACCACTGCAGGGGCAGTGGGAGGTGTTTCAGTGGGAAGAGGAGACAGTACAGGCACTGGGACAGGACTTGGCTCAGTGGGAGCAACACCTAAACCACCCAAAGGTACCATGTGAATAACAATTGAAAATCTTCATGCAATAAGATATATCTTTTTTAAAAATAGATTAAAAAACTTTTTTTTTAATGTGTGGCCCTGAAGAGACTGTGTCAGGAGGTGCGGGCCGTGGACCTGGTGGACCTGGTGGAGCTGGTGGAGCTGGTGGACCTGGTGGACCTGGTGGAGCTGGAAGTGGTCCTGGGTCAGTCGCAGGAGGGTCTGGAGGGGCAGGCTTGGTACCGGGAGCTGGTGGCCCAGGTGGAGTTGGAACAGGGGTCCCGAAACCTGGAAAAAGTAGGTTGCAGTTATGTTTTGATCTTCAAAGTGAATTGGTGTCAGCTATACGCCCAGGTTTTTCTCATTTATACACGTCACTCATTATCCGTCCCAGGTTATGGAGCAGGTGGGGCTGGTGTTTTACCAGGTGGAGGTATGCAAACCTAAGACTTCAAGTTACATCTGACTGATAGCTTAAATTTATATTCATGATGTGTCTTGCTTCCAACTCAGGCACACGCTATTCCACTGGAACTGGAGTAAGACAGGGAGCAGGAAAAGGTTCGACAAACGGTCAATGGGCTACTCAGACTACAGCAATGAAAGTATTTTAAATCCGTGTTTTTCTTTTTTTTCATCAGCGTATGGAACTCTTGGTACAGGAGGCCAGGGAGGGATTGGACCTGGTGGATATGGTGCTGGTCCAGGCGGTTATGGGGCCGGTCCAGGTGGCTATGGTGCAGGGCCAGGGGGATACGGAACTGGACCCGGAGGCAGAGGCACCGGGGCTGGTCCTGCAGGTACTGGGGATCTTGGAATTGGAAGTGGTTCTAGGGGTGTGTCAGCAGGCCCGGGCAGTGGCGGTGGCGGATTGGGGGGGATATGGTGGTGGTGTGGCTGTCTGACTGTCTGACTCAGTTTATATTAAGCTGTTTCATTTTTGATAAATCATGTCTTATCTGTTTATTTGTTGGGATAATCAGGTTCTAGATATGGCATCGGCCCAGGGACTGGAACCGGGATGGGAGCAGGAAAACCACCAAAAAGTATGAAAACAAACAGATACAGATTATATTTGAAAAAGATAGCTGAAAATGAATGGAATTCTCTTTTTTTTTTCAGGTTATGGACCTGGTGGCATTGGAGTTGGGTCTGGTGGTTATGGAACTGGACGAGGTGGAGTTGGTACCGGTCCGGGTGGTTTTGTCCCTGGCGGCACTGGCGCTGGTAGCTACGGACCCAGTGGCACTGGCCCAGGTGGGTTTGGGCCCGGCACAGGAGGCACTGGACCAGGTGGGTTTGGGCCCGGCACAGGAGGCACTGGACCAGGTGGTGTTGGAACTAGACCGGGCGGATTCGGACCTGGTGGAGCAGGGGGTACTTCTGGTGTTTATCCAGGGGGAGGTCCAAGAATGGGGACAGGGAAACCACCCAAACCAGGTATAATAAGGTTTCTTATCACTAAAGCTATCTCTTCGGAAATTCTGTGACCTGCTAAAACTATGAACTTCTGCTCACAGGCTATGGATCATCACTGGGTGGAGCTGGCTATGGACAAGGTGGGAAACCCCTTTATACTTAACCACAATAAAAAGAGACAAACCGTTCTGTTTTTTCTGTTTCCCAAGACAACATGAAAACACTATAAATATATGTCTGTCATACTAAACTATACATTTTATATAATATTACAACAATGTACATGTTTTTCCTGCTCTTTTCTATTTTTAACCTGACACTAAAATGAGATTAATCAACAATTTTCAACACCATAAACCATGTGGACAGATCACTGTAATATATGTCTATGGTTTTTTTTCAGGAACAGGAGTTGGACCGGGTGGTGCTGGCACAGGAACTGGTTTTGGACCAGGTGGTGCTGGCACAGGAACTGGTTTTGGACCTGGTGGTGCTGGCACGGGAACTGGTTTTAGACCAGGTGGTGCTGGCACAGGAACTGGTTTTGGACCTGGTGGCGTTGGCACAGGAACTGGTTTTGGACCAGGTGGTGCTGGCACAGGACCTGGAGGATTCGGTCCAGGTGGTGCTGGTACAGGAACTGGTTTTGGACCTGGTGGTGCTGGCACAGGAACTGGTTTTGGACCAGGAGGTGCTGGCACAGGAACTGGAGGATTCGGTCCAGGTGGTGCTGGCACAGGAACTGCAGGAATCGGTCCAGGTGGTGCTGGAAGAGGAACTGGTTTTGGACCAGGTGGTGCTGGCACAGGAACTGGTTTTGGACCAGGTGGTGCTGGCATAGGAACTGGATTTGGACCGGGTGGTGCTGGCACAGGAGCTGGTTTTGGACCTGGTGGTGCTGGCACAGGAACTGGATTTGGACCTGGTGGTGCTGGCACAGGAACTGGATTTGGACCAGGTGGCCAAGGATTTGCAAAAAGAAAACCTTCCAAATCAGGTGTGTAAGAAATTAGAAGATTACAAACATTTTAAGTAATTATAATGTTTAAATCATTGACCAAAAACATTTTCATCCTGTTTTTAGGTTATGGGGGAGCTGGCTACGGAGCTGGTGAGGTTTCTTTGCTCTCTTTGTTTTATTCTGAATCTTAAATAAAGTCTCAAATCATCCAATCTTTTAAACGGCAGGAGGCTTAGGAGGAAGAACCGGTCCTGGTGGAGCTGGAATGAGACCTGGTGGTTTCGGCCCTGGAACTGGGCCAGGTGGCTTTGGTCCTGGTGGAGTAGGGCCAGGTGGAGCAGGGCCTGGTGGCTTTGGGCCTGGTGGAGCAGGCCAGGGTGGTTTTGGTCCTGGTGGAGCAGGGCCAGGAGGAGCAGGACCAGGTGGCTTTGGGCCTGGTGGAGCAGGGCCTGGTGGAGCAGGGCCAGGTGGAGCAGGACCTGGTGGTTTTGGGCCTGGTGGAGCAGGACCAGGTGGCTTTGGTCCTGGGGGCTTTGGTCCTGGTGGAGCAGGGCCTGGTGGAGCAGGACCTGGTGGCTTTGGGCCTGGTGGAGCAGGACCAGGTGGAGCAGGGCCTGGTGGTTTTGGACCTGGTGGGGCTGGCAGATATGGACCCGGTGGACAAAAGCCTTCTAAATCTGGTTATGGTTCATCTTTGGGTCAGGCTGGCTTTGGACCAGGTAAAATTCTCTTCTATAATAAAAATCTTTCGATTTCTGTTGATATCTGACTTGTTAACAATAATACAAAGAGAAGGCATGCTCACCCAGATGTGAATGTGCTCTGTAATGCCTGTGAATTGTCAATTAGATGTTTACTAATCACAGCCGTATGCTACAATCAGAACCTTTTGAAAGCAATTCCTCATTCTATAAATGTTCATTATCATCATGAAGTGTGCAAAAAATATAAGATGCTTAGAGAGCTAAACAAATTCATGGTTCTGTCTTTACCCTGACACCATACAGTATATTTAAGAATATTTAAAAAGAAAGATACATTTTTGATTGGCTAAGAATTCTGAAAGTTCTGAAAGTATAAGGACTTTTTTTTTCTAAATATAATCTCTAATTCATTTATCTACTTATTATGTATAAGTTTTATAACAAACTTATCAAAACTAAATCTGAGGGGAAAAAACTTTAGTCCCTATTGTTTTTTGTCCCTCTATGATTCATGATTTCTTTTGCTATATTTGCTAAGAAGCATTTCTATAAACCGTTGCTTGTCATTTATCTAATCTAAACTGTATATAATATGACTAATTCTATTCACTAGGAGGTGGAGTAGGAGGTGTTCCTGGTGCAGGAACAGGAGGTGTGACTGGAGGCAGGCCAGGTGAGTTTGATATACTGTTTGATTTATGTCATTAAAACACTTAAAAATGTCTTACTTGACCACAACTCCACCCGTTTACACAGATCAGTTAATTAATTTGTAGAAAAGGACATCCAACACAGGCTCTTTGTCTTTATCTCCCTGTTCTATAAAAGCTTGTATATGACAAAAGAGAACATTCTTTGAAGCCTTTTATTAATCTGTTCTGATTGCTTGAACAGTTTCTTATTAGCACTCACTTGTTTGTTGAGGTGGAACAGCGGGAGGAGCGGGAGGGACAGGAGGTCCTGGAGGAACAGGTCAGGGTGTAGGAAGAGGAGCTGGGGGCCTACCAGGTCAGCCTAAACAAAGCAGAACACAACAGTACAGTAACGGATGTTCTGAGATATATGAATAAATGCACTCACTTCCAGAACACAGAAAAGAAAAGTCTTTACTGCCTGTTATTTTGGAAAAAAGAAAAAGAAAAGAAAAGTTTGTTACATGCTGTAAAGCCTCTTTTTATCCAGCAGGGGGTGCTGGTCCAGGCTTTGGTGGAGGGACTGCAGGAGGATATCAAGGTGGGAGCACCATGTGCATATTACATGCACGTCTTTAAGACTAAATTGAAAACAAACCTGACAACAATTTTACAGTCCCAGTCGTGTATTTAAAACAAAAAGTCTGAAGGAAAGACTGAATATTATCAGTTATATGTCTTTATCTCTCTTGTCATTGTTCTACAGGATACGCAGGAACTGGACAGAAATGTGAGATTACTACTTACCGTTTACTTTGAGAATAAGCACTAAGTGAAAAAAATGGCCTGTAAAGATGTACTGAGATGAAGAAACACTTATTCTCTCCTTATTTATAATAACCACTAGCAAGTACTTCATTTTAAATGCACAAATGTTTGTTAATATTTGATAATGATTTTGGTAATTACACTCTCAATCCAATTAATCAAACCTAAGGAACTACACATTGACCCTTTATCAACCTGCTCAACCATTGGGTAGAGCACATTTTTCACTGATCCGTGACAAGATACACTAGAGGAGCTCCATTTAACTGCACTAGCTCTACAAAAAAGTCACCCCAACTATCTGTGAAAAAATGAATTGATTCTGGTGTTGCTGCTCCGAAAAAATGAAAGAAATATAATGTTTTTTCCTATTCCTATTGTCCTGATTACCATGTGTAGATGTTACTAGTTTAAAACAAATATCCTGCCTGTTTTTATCATGCCGTGTTGAGTAATTATTTGCAATATGACTATTTTTTTTCACTTCTTGCAGCCAAGGCACAGAAGGCAGCCAAATATGCAGCCATGCAAGCTTTACTTGGAGCTGGAGGCTACAGAGGTAAACGTCACACAAACCGCATCTTCTGCTGCACCACACCATCTCCACTCTCCATCATTCACAGCCTTGAAGCACTCAGAAACAGATTGTGTCACCAAGTTCTTTTTACTTCTAAAAACTTACAATAACAGGGCAGTTTCAAACATTACCAGTTGCCGGTCTTTTCATAGGTTTCTGTAGAGATGGCAAGTTAAGATCTCACCATATGGCCATAAAGCCACAGATACAGGAACTCTGTGGTTTGGAGGAAATTCTAACTAAAAAGGAAATGCAGTGTGAAGAAAGTCCAAACAGTTGTTCATTTATTATAGCAGAATAGGAACAGGCTGTTATGTTATGGTGGACAAACATTTTTACTGTTGTGAGTAATTCTTTTCTCTGTTCTGGTTTTTAGGTGGTGGCTGTCAGGGTAAATACTGTGGCCGAAGGAGGAAGTGAGAGAGCAGCAGACAGGAAGTGACCTCACCGAAGCAACAGTGGTGCTATAGTATGACTATGGACTGTAAATGTCTTCCCTGCCTGAGAGGCTGAGGCATGGAACCATCCCACATCTTACATTTTTAGAGCCTGTTTTGGAGTAGAAGCTGGGTCTCATCCTGTTAGGTCCCTAGTTACTTTGACTAAGGCCTTTATTAAACTCAAATTTGGAGGGGTTGCACATTTATGTGTATAATCAGCTTTATGAATTGGGTCAAGGTAGAATTTTACTCTAAAATGTCTCTGTTTAAGTTAAATCAAAATTGCAACATTTGTTGAAGCATTTGTTACAAAATCCATTTTCTCAGTTGATCGTCATTATACCTCTCCGTAGTTATGACACAAAGGGTCAGCAATTCTTTATTTTGAACCTCTGACATCAACCTGTTCTTTATTAAAGTTTTTGTTTGTAGGTGCTACTATACATATGATTTTGAGAAAGAAAACAACTGATGACAAGGACTCCCTTGGGGAAGCTCCTTCAGACCTGTCTGCATGCTGACATAGTGCGTAAGCTAAAGCCTTTTACCCAGAATTCACCTTTTGTCTTGCAGAATCTTACGTTTGGCATTTCATTTGTCATTTCACTGTTTATCGCTTTTATTTCACTGTTTGATCACTTGGATAATCTTTTGAGCATTGTGTCGACAAAAATGGCAGAAAGCTGGTACAGTAGAGAACAAGAACACAGTTATTTTTTGTGTGTATTTTTGGGGAGGGGGTGTGTGCTTCATTAGTTTAGACTTTATTATCAGATCCTTGAAATCCAGCCTCTGTTCAGTTGGCTGCATTCAGACCTCAGTGTTCCAGTCACATTTAGGGCACTGGTTATAGCTAAATAACATCAAAAGGCTGCTTTTTTTCACTGTTATAAGGATGCACTTGTTCTGAGAGAATAGTGTGGCTCCGCTTTAGCTTTCACATTTGCTGTCGATAAAAAGCATTTAGACTAAGTCGGAGGTAAAATGACAAGAAAACATGACGCTGCATTTAACTGACGTCTGAACAGTGCTGATTTCTGTGATTTTCCTCTTTTGATGTACCTCCTTGAACACTGTTGAAAAATTTGCTCACGTTTACTAGTCTTTTTAAATTATGCTGAGAAATGTATTCAGTCTTATTCTACAGGTTTCAGTGCATTAGTGCAGTATTTGAGTTGGTAACTTTGTGATCAACTGAAGTGCTTTGTTTTCTACGTTGTGATGTCAGAAGGATTTTTTAAAAAGCGTAGTTAATTCTCATGCCGTATTTGAGCTTACATTTCTGTTTGTACTGTGTGGCTCAACATGTGTTTTTACCATCTATGTTGATTATGAGGCCTAAGAATAAAATAATGCACTTTTGAACTTTTTCTCTTAAATAAAGAGAAGACCAACAAGACATGCCTTCAGCTTGTTATTTTACAACTGCCCGCATAGTTTACTGCGTCGGACATGAATGTGCGCAGGGAGGGTTTTTGTCTAAAGGCAGAGGAAGAGGAAGCATGCAAAAATGTTGTTGTAACATATTTGCCTGTTTTGTTTTTTCAAACCACAGGTTTTAACGTGAATATAAAAAGAAACTTCAAGCGGTTATTTCAGCACTGAAAACAAAGCCATAGTGACTCATTTCAGTCAAGACACACTGGCTTGTACAGCGAAATAAAACCTGCCATAATGTGCTTTAGTAAACGCTTTAGAGACGAGGATCCTGAGACAATCAAACAAAACACAAGTGGGTCAGAAAGAATCCAAACAGAAAACTAGGGAATCCGAATCTGGTGTAATCGAGGTTAAGCTAAATTTACTGGTGAACAAAGATTTAGGTTGCAGACATTTCCATGATGCAAAGGTCAGTGCTGTGAATATGTCAACAAGACTTCTTGAGGCCAACCCTCAGACTGGCATACATTTTCAAATAATTCAGATTATTCTAAATACATATGCACTTATTTGAGTGTGTTCAAATGATAACGCTCTCAAAAACTGCCTACGTTAACAACAATACTTTACATTTTGCAGGTCAGATAGGTGCTGCCAGTACCCAAAGCAATCAACTCACATTAATCATGATTGGAATTTTAACCACTGGTGACTGTAAAGGAATTTTTTTCAAAACTATTACAACAAAGATTGAGATATGATCCATAAGGAAACTTCTCAATCTTGACGACAGTGATTTCTTTCTAAATGACGAGGTCAGATAATGGGCTGTCAAATAAATTAGACAGGATTTGGATTCAAATGTTAGAAATTGTCCCTCACAACCATCATTAAAGCAGCAAATGGGGGAGTATTATTTGGAACAAAGGTAACCCTCCCAGCTTTACAGGCCCATGGTGTTACAGACCCAAAGCCGCTATAGAGACAAATCATGGCCAAACTCTACTGAAACTTGATTTCACCTCAAATTTGTCACCTTTTTGTAACCTTTAACACATTGACTGCTTTGAAGGGTTTCCTCTGCAAGCATGCACCGACACCTGTGTCTGTCGGTCAGTTTAAAGTGGAGGTGGCTCGTCTTGTGTTATTAAAAACACGCCTGTGCTGCATGCGTGGTGTTCCTCTGCTATGACTTATGGTGGTTACTAAATTAGTGACTCAACTAACTGTAAAAATAACTACACTGAAACAAAAGAGAATGAATAACCCAACTGGAAATAGACTCCACTGACAACCAATTACGTTCATTACGTTTAGTCAGAGCCACTCTCACATGGACACTTACATGAGGAAAATCTTACTCCAAATAGAATTATTGGATTTTTTCAACCTAATTCTGAGCCCTGGTGTGTAGCCTGAATTATTCCTCTTTGTTTGCTGTGTGTGATGAATGGAGTGCTTTGCAGTGGGATCTGGACAGTGCAGTAATTGGAGCATTCATAAGGAGATTATGCTTGTGCAACGGGAACAAGGGTGATTTCAAAACACTCAAACTCACAAGCTCGAGCAAAGCCCTGCTGAGAAAAGCACACACTCATCTTTAATCACATCAACGCCCCGTCTCAGCTCACATTTTGGATTCTGAGTTTAGCTCCAACACATTTGAAGACTCTGCTGAAGAGTGTAACTGTATCTTTCAGAAGTCTGCATACTGAAAAAAAGGGAGGGGAGGGCAGAGTAGAGAAGAGCGTCTATACCGGGATAGGTTTTATTTCCAGGAGCCAGCAGGAGGAAACTACACAACTAGTGTCATTGAGTCAGAGTTTCTTTTTTTTCTCACACAGCTACACATTAAAGAGAGGGAACTCGTGCACAGGAAGCCTTTACACGCATGGAGAGAGAGCAGAGAAAAATAAAAGACAACGCCTGCTACCGGTTACAGCAGTGTGTGCGTGACCCGCTCATAGACGCATGCAACTAAAAGGGTCCTCGCCTAACTGGGTGGATTGTATCCTGTATGCTGAGAACAGGCGACCGGCAGGGCAGAATGTCAAGACGGGACCAGAGGTTTCGGAGAGGAATGAAGGGACGGTAAGAGCGCCGATCCTCAAGCCGCCGGACGGGGATGCATGAGAGGGACAGAAAGAGGAGAAACAATGAAAGAGTGAGAGGAGAAGAGTAAATGTGAACTCAAGCATAACTTCTGCATGTGCACTTCCTCAATCAGAGGTCTGCCATGGTAAACAGATACACAGAGAGACTGAGCTCAGGCTTCTCAGATTTGAATGTGAGTGGATAGTTTGTGAAACCGGAGCGGTGAGAATTGCCAGATATTTAAATCCCCATCTGAACAATTAGTTTTGACGGATTCAACAAACTTCTTTGGTCTACTCTCAGGCATGTACATCGTGAAACCTATCAGTGCTCTCATCTTAGGAACAAACACTATCATTAAGACTATGTATGCCCAACCCAGTAGTATTAGACTGAAACTGAACGTTTCCTTGGTACAGTTTCTGAAGGTGAACGCAAACAGTGCAAAGGGGAAACTAGCCAGGAGAAATAGAAGGTTCATAAGTGGCTGATGTTAATACTCAGTGTGAGGGGAACATACGCAGTTGGTGAATGAGAGAACTATGAGGATGGGAGCGACAGAATGGAAATTCTTTGGGTCTGGGTCAAATCCAGAGTTTTCTCACAACCAGATGTTCAAGCAGAATTGCAGATGTGAGGCTGGAAGGTCCCACATCCGTGGCCGGCAGCACAGTAACAAAGACAACGGGACGAAAATAAACCTGCAGCTGTCTGAAGGCTTTATCACTTAATTATTTCCCTCTTTAAGAGATATGAAGCAGCTCAACCGCGACCCAGCTGATGTTCCTTAACATGCTGCCTGTTCAGATGTTGCATGTGTTACAAGCATTTTCGTCCAAGATCCAGGAAATGCTGACAGAAGGAACAAAGGCAACACTGCTCTTGAGAACCCAAACAAAAAAGTCCTGGAAAGTTTAAAGTGTAGATCACACTGGACCAGACACAGGAAGTTAAATCAGCAGTCATCATTTTGTGTCGTCTGAAAAGTGTTATTGCTTATAGTCTCCTCCTTCCAAACTCAAGAAGAGAAAATGCAAATGCCTGATCACAATGAAATTACATCATTTAGAGGCTCATAGGGAAGTGAGGACGTCTGAGAACGACCCTCTTCATTTTTTTAAACTAAAAGACAACCTTTTCGATCCTATTGTAAGAACAATGTGGCATTTACAGTCAAGGCTGGGAGAAAGGAAACATGGATCCGTACTCAGTCCAGGAAGTCACCTCCCACTCTGGTTGCAGTGCTGGTGAGATAAGGGAGGAGGTTTTTTCTTTTTTACTTTTTTTTCTGTTGTAGATGGGACGCCACGGAAAGTTTAGGCTTCTAAAAAGTCCTGAAATGGACTGTTTTGCACATTATATGTGCGGAACGTATTACCGCCTGAGCGCTAAAGTTATTGTGTTTGGACTTGATTTAGTTCTCTCATGCAGTTGTGATTGGGTTGTGTACGCCAGGATTCGTCTGTGTGATGAGCAACAGTTATCTGGTTTGATTGAATGTGCATCCTGTGATGGTCAAGCCAATGAGGGGAGGTTTGTGTCTGCTGGGACGGGCTCCAGCACACAACAACCGATGTACAGACTGGATGGAAATATGTTCTCTGGCTCTATGCTGCTCTTTAACACCATCACTGCAATAGCATAAACAGCTTAAAGAATCAGGCTAAACTTTGTGTGTACTGAAATATTTATACTGTCCTTAAAACATAAAAGGGTTCGGTATCAGTGATATAGAACACCGAGCGTTAATTAAAAACAGGCAAACTAAAGATAACCACTTATCTTCCCACTGACCTGGAATTGTGACCCGTTAGTGGTCTAAAGGCTCAACTTTCCGACTAAGTCTCATGTTTTCCATCACTGAAAGCTCCCGTCACTCTACTGAAACACACCTCTCAAGTGTTCTCTGACTGACAGCCTAATCTCAATCTGAGCCTCTCTTGTTCCGCCTGTCATCTCTCGGTTTCCTCGTTGTACTCTCTGTCTTCACTCATTCACTCTTGTTTGTAGGTGTTGTGACTGTGAGTGTATCCTGTCTCAGTGGTACTATGAAAGAGAGGGACAGCTCTACTGTAAGAAGCACTACTGGTCCCGTTTCGGAGAACACTGCCACGGCTGCAAGGAGACCATCGCAACAGGGCTCGTCATGGTAACCGGAGACAGTCAAAATCTTCATCTAAACTTTCATTTATTCCCCTTTAGCTTCGTGCAAGTTATTTTGACTGAAAATCTCCTTTGATTTCAGACCAAGATAACAAAAAAAAGGGTCTTAACATCTTGCCTTGATAAAATGAACACACAAATTCACTCTCCTTTAACAGCACTGTGAAAATATGCAAATATCCAAGTGAACACAGCTCTGAGGTACATACGAGAAAAGCCCCTCTTCCCTGAACACATTTCCACCTGGGCATTATATTGCAATGTTAAATAACTGCACATGACAAATAATCACAACGCAAAATCGGTGCCACACGTCTTTAGCATTCACTTTCTTGGCCGTAAAAATCTAAACCTTCCCCAGCATAAAATTCAAAGACTAAAGAATGCTCAAGTATTATTATGAGGGATACCAAACACAGCATGCTACACCAGAAAGTCATGCATTCAAAGCCTTCCTGCTGTTTCTTCCTGATATAAAAGGAAATCCATTTTTCTTTTGATGCTCAAACTAGAGGATATCCTCTGAAAACATCCTTTAGGCAGGAATGCACCAAAAAGAACTTTTACATTTCGGACATGCTCGACCTAACACATCCCAACGTTACAAAACAATGCTCCATCATCAGCCTCAGCATTGTGACTGACAGCAATGTCTTCTTTTTTTACCCAGGTTGCAGGAGAGCAAAAATACCACCCTGAGTGCTTCACTTGTATGAGCTGTGAGATGGTCATAGGATACGGGGACACCTACTCGCTTATTGAACGCTCAAAACTATACTGGTAAAAAAGAAATTAAAAACTTAAGGGCAAAATAAAAGATTATTTTATACACCAGTATGCTGATGTGTGTTTTTCCTCCCTTCAGCGGCCACTGTTTCTGTCAGGGTGTCGTACCTGCCGTGAGGTCAGCGTCCCCCCCCACAACGATTCCCCACATGGTGGCTCTGGTGTCCCTCCCTCCCCACACACTTGGCCAGCGGGGTCTGACAGTCACTGTTGACTTAAGCCAAGAGTCAAACCCGCTTGTCACTGTGACAGAGTGAGTTTTAATGACCGCCAACATGGGTCAAATCTGCATTTAGATAGGGCTAACCTCAAGTTGGATGGGGACAGAGAACTTTGTGACTCAGCTATGAGTGGCAGTTATGAAAAGAACATTTATTTTAATCATTTAACCATTAAAATTCCATCTCACTTTTAATTTACTGCAAGTTATAACAAGTTTGGTTTTGCATTAATTAAGTGGTTCGTACATTTTTTTTCTTGGTGCCTCAACTTGAACCGACTCATATTGGTTAAACTGACAAAAAAAATACAATGCCAATCTGCTTCAGGTTAGACTCAGCTGTCATCAGCCCTGACCTGCTGTCTGCTGTCCAAGCTGGGGATAAAATCCTGGAGGTCAATGGCATCCCTGTCCGCAATATTCCTCCAGATGAGGTATCACATGTACAACAAATACACAACAAGAGGTTGCACCTGCTTGATAAGTAAAACTAAAAGGGGTAAAACGGCTCACCATCACAGATAACTCGCTTTCCTTCGCTGTAGATAAACCGTGTGATCCAGGACACACGCCTGCCACTGCAGCTGACCATCGAACACAGCCCGCCATCTCCCCACGAGCACCTTCAGTCTGACCGTCCCCCGGACGGCATCAGCTGCGCTGACTCCCGTGTCAGAGACAAGCCCGTGTCTTCCCTGGCGCTCCCGAGTCTGGAGGAAGAGCCGAGTCCACGGGAGGAGACGGACGAACAAAGGATGAGCCTCTCCCCACCTCAGCAGCAAGGAACCCCGGGAATGCGGTCCAGACACATCCTGTAAGACCTGACCACTGGCCTGCACTCAGTCGTCTGCTCCCGGTCTTCTGTCTGACCGGGCTCTGTCCACCATGTTTTGTTTTAGGCGCAGCTTTAGCATAGACAAGTGCCCCTTCTCCCCTGGAGCTCTTTCCCTCATATCTCAGAGAAGAGACATGGTTCGCTCCGAGTCTCTTCGAGTGGACCCCGGAGAACGGACGCACCGCATCTTCAGACCCTCAGACCTGATCCACGGAGAGGTGCTAGGCAAGGGCTGCTTTGGACAAGCAGTCAAGGTACTGCACTTATTGCTTTAGCTCACTCTGTTGCTTTGGAAGTTTTCTCATTCCATTCTAAAAATACAAAACAAATGGTAATTTCTGTTGAAGAGTGATTTTTATGTAAACTGTGATGAATGTGTCATTGTCAAGGTAACACACCAGGTGACAGGCGAGGTGATGGTGATGAAAGAGCTGATACGCTTTGACGAAGAGACACAGAGGACTTTCTTAAAGGAGGTGAGTGGTGAACTGATATGGAAACTTCTTTAATATTATGAGCTCGGTTTCCACCAGGCTAAAGAGGGAGCGGGATCATCCAGCTCAGGGGGGGTTAAGGCTTACAGTCCAATGAATGCTGACATGCTGCATCCATCAGAATATGAATACTATTAATGAAAAATGTCTCTCAGTAAAGAGATTGTTGTGAATTGAAGTTATGGTGACAATGTACCTGTTTCACCAACTTCCCTCACACCTTCCACAGGTGAAAGTGATGCGCTGCCTTGACCATCCCAACGTTCTTAAGTTCATTGGACTGTTTTACAAAGACAAACGAATTCATTTTGTCTCAGAGTACATCCAGGGTGGAACTCTCAGAGAGACGATTGTAAAAATGGTGAGCTAGACTTCATTTGAATGATTCTACATGACTTCTATCTGAGTGTATAAACAAGGTTTTGGTTGTACTCTTGTTATTTTAGGACAAGGATTTTCCTTGGAGTACAAGGGTTAGTTATGCCAAAGACATTGCAGCTGGAATGGTGAGTCTTTATTGTCAACAATGTAAAGGCAAGAGGTTTCCATCTTAAAAGGATTGTGCTTTCTTTCTTCTCTCGTTTAAATGTAAATTACATCTGTTCTTGAAAGGCATATCTACACTCCATGAATGTAATCCACCGAGATCTAAATTCATACAACTGTCTGGTCAGAGAGGTGAGGAAATTTTCATAATTACATGCATGAAATACATATAAAATACAGCTAAAACTTTACCACTACACATTTTCTAAGTTCAAAGATGGCACGTGTTTCCACTCGGAATTTTAGGTTTTGATTTTGGATGCAGCTTTAAACATCCCTAAGAGGTGTGCATCTATTTTTGCATTAGGACCAGTCTGTGGTGGTGGCAGATTTTGGACTAGCTAGGCTGGTGATGGAGGAGAAGAACCAGAGCAGAACATCTTCTCTGGAACGACCCTCAAAGGGCCCGCTGTCGGAGCTGCGCCGACCTGACCGCCGGAAACGGTATACTGTGGTAGGAAACCCCTACTGGATGGCCCCTGAGATGATCCATGGTGAGTTTATAGGGTTTTGTTCTAACAGCTGCATACAGATTGGGATGGGGGGGGGGGCAGAGTTTTAAATGATCCTGACGGCACATAAGCTCAATTTGACAATACTGTATGTGAAGATACCCATTATTTTAAAAGGCTTTTCTAATGTTTCTTCCACTCCTACTCTCAGGCAAAACCTATGATGAACGTGTTGACATATTCTCCTTTGGAATAATGATATGTGAGGTAAGCCCAACCATCCAAACAAAAAACTTTTTAAGATTTGATGTACAGTCATTTAAAAGCTGTGGTGTTGACTTCAGAATTTGATGAATTCCAATGTAAAAACAGCTACTTTTTTAAAAATGTAATTACATAATCAGATATCTTTTTTAAATCCAAGTACTGTATACATCTATACTTTCTTTCAGATTATTGGTAGAGTGAATGCTGACCCTGACTACCTTCCACGATCAAATGACTTTGGACTAAATGTGGCAGGCTTCCTGCAGCAGTACCACCCTGCTCAGTGCCCCTCGGCCTTCCTGCCGCTGGCCGTGCTCTGTTGTGATATGGATGCTGATATACGGTACAACAGAAAAACTATTCAACAAGTTAACTCTGGAGTCATGTATGCTGAATATGAACTTCATATAGTAATAAGTACCTAAATTCAATATTTTTTGTTGAAATTTTGTTTAAAATGGTCAGTATTCATAAATAAAATCAGCCAAGTCACAGCATTTTTATCCAAAAGGCGCCTCTTAAAATAAATGTTTGAGGTTAGAACATGTTATTCACACCCTTGTCATGAACTCCATACCATTGCAGATGCAAAAAAATGAATATATTTGTTTGTGTAGGACAATGTAAGGTATAAACACACTTATATACTCCCATTGTCACAACTCTTTCTCTTTCAGACCCTCATTTTCAAAGCTGCAGGAGTGGCTGGACAACCTGCTGATGCACTTGGACATCAGTCTGCCTCTGCTCTCTGAGCTGGAACAAGTCTCTAGAGCCTTTTGGAAGAATCACCAAAACCAGGAAGACACTCCCATTTCTCATGAACAAAACTGCTCACCGCGGGAGGGCCAGGGCCCCGGCCCTGCCCAATGTTCAGACAGTGACATTAACCAGACGGAGCCTAACCACATCTCCCAGAGCCAAGGCCAATGTAGCACATGTGAAAGCAGGAAGCAAGTACTACAAGGAAGTGACAAACACGATGTGAGGACTGGATCAAAAGACTTAAATCCGCCGTGTTGCAGGTCTACTAGCAAAGATTCGGGTAAAACTGATTGTGAACCTGATGAGGACAGTCTCATCACAGGTCAACCAAATGCCGAGCAGGATCCTTCACGGCTGCTGCAGGTCAAGAACTTACCTCCAGGTCGGTCAAACAGGCCAAGACGGACATGCAGAGCACCGTGGGACACATCTACTGAGGACAGCTCGTTCCTGTGACAGCTCATCTATTGGCCTGTGAGGGTCACTTCTGCAGTCCTGAGCCCTGAGCTGTGGAATAAAGATGTCTCAGGAAGACATTTGTGCCTTGCCCAACTATTGGGAGACAACCTATTTATGAAGACTGATGTGGGGAACCATGCTCAAATTCACAAAAGGTGCTCATGTTATGTTGGGCAGATAAACTCCAGGCGACAGTATTGATGTGGCTGCAGCTAGAACCCAACTGAGGAAAACTTAATGGCTTCATTTGTAAATTATTTTCTTAAATCAGATGAAAAATACCTGACAGATTTATCAATTGGGGTCTAGCTTCAGCTTTGTTAAGCTGTGAAACTAATGTCACTTATTGCTATAAGCTATGATTCTATTTATCAAAAGGTCTTATAAGTTTTATTTTCTCATCTGACAAATGTCAAACCTTAGACAACACACAGAACTGTGACCCTATAACCAATAAAATGTAGATAATACAAGAAGTTGTGTACACACTGATGACTGATTTTAAATCCATATTCAACTTTAAAAAATTAACTGGGGCCAGTCAGAAACCTGAACCTATTGTAGGGGATGAAGCAAGTTCTATGATGAGGTGGAAGGAGGGGGCATGTGTGTGGAGTTGGGGTCCATTAAGGAAAGGGCCCCTTCAAATCAAAGCATTATTGAAGGCGATGGTCTAATTTTTTAAAACGTATTTTTTGTGTAATATAAGTATAACTTCTTAGGGTAACTGGCCTGTTGCCAACTGAAAAGTTAACTGTAACTGTAATAAAGTATTAAAGTTTAATTTAGAAAAAAATTATATGGTGTGCCCAACGGAAGCTGTTTTTTTTCGTGGGCAGCATAAATTCTACAAAAGTACCACTCATCGCTTTGGTATGAAAATAGTGTGTACACTATCTTAATGTATCAGCTTTCTTGCGCTCTGGTTGACGTATGGACCACCGCGGTGCCTGTCAATTTTCCTTCCTCAACAGTAGCCAATCGAAATTAAAAGTAGGCGGGGCTTATAAAAAAAACTCTAATGTTTCTTTTTTTATTTTTGAGACAGGTGAGACGTCTGCTTGTTTTTAAATGTCTCCATAATATATATTAAGAATGACTCAAAGGAGTGAGTAGCCAGGGTTTGAACGCTACAGGAGCCAAAATGCCAGTATTTAAAATACAATCAGACTTCCCTCGTATAATTCGAACGGTTTTGACATGTGAAAATTTGAAATTTGAAAAAATAAACTTCATTTCCAGCACACAAATACAAGTCTACGGGATAAAACAGGCAGTGGTTTAACATTATCAAGACTATTTGTAACTCTAACAGACTTCATAAATACTTGCTTTTCTTTAACACGCTCAGTCTCACACCTGTACGGAGATGGAACTGAGGCCACGGTCGTGCGCGTACACGCGGAGTACGTCACGTGCACCCGCTCTGCCCTGGACACAGCTCGGTCACCGGTGGCAATATGGAACACATGTCCTCTCCGGTCAGATACCGCAACTCCAAGAAAGGTACGTCTCTATCAACTGCACCTACTCTCAGCTACAGCTAAACCGACCCTCTGGAGTTTCTGCACACGGAATAAAACACGTAGCTTCGAGAACAATCCCGACAGCACAGTAGTATTCCTGCTGGCAGTGAGTCAGTTCAAACTGAGCTTTTCTTCTTCTTGTGTTCAATTTTCTTCTTCTTTGACCTTTTTAAGCTTTGCGCCTTTTTAGCTAATGTTGTCATGGTGACGCCAATTCTAACTCGTTAATTTTGAACGAGCATAAGGTGACTATTATTTGTTCCTCAAGTCTGTGTCTGTATTAGTTTTTAAGTGAACTATCCTTTTTGTTGTATTTTTTTTAACGTTTTCTGTCACCTCTTTCCCCCACCAAAAGCTGCAACTTTCTCAGAAAAGAAGGTAGGTCACGTTTGTGAAATAGCCCTTTGTTGTAGTGTTTGTCACAACCTGCGTGTGTGTTTAAGAGTTAATTCCAACCCCCTGCCTGTCAGGAGCTTTAGAAGCTGGGTTAAGCCTGCTGCAGTTCTGGGAAATGAGAGCTGACAGGTAGAGCCATGGCAGATGAACCCTGATCAGACAACTGCCACACACTGTGCTTCACACCGGCTCCCACCAGTGTCCTGCTGCTCCAGACAGGCCATAGTCGGAAGTTGGAAAAGAAAGTAATCAAATGTATTGTTGGGATGTTTAAACAAGGGAGAGCAAGCAGCAAAAAAAACAAAAAAGAACAACACAGTTCTGGTTGGTTTTTAGATGATCCATTCACACTTAAAGGAGATCTTTAAGTAAAAGGAATAAAACCATTTGAGGTTTCATTTGATAGATTTAGTTCACTAACTTGCAGATACAGAAGGACAGAAGGTCTTGCCTGCCTGGACAGATGGAAGAGGGGCTTTGCGATGTTGTAATGGGATCAGAGAGCAGATTTAATCAGTGAAGAAAGGAGAGCAGACAAACACTGCTTCTTAAGTCAGAAACAATGGCCCTGACTGTGGCCGCGGATGGCGAGTGATTTTTTTGTTTGTTTGTTTTTTAATAGTCGTGTTCTCGCAGGGACACCTGACTTTTACAGGTGGATGACATCTCTTATGTTTCCTTTGATAATCGGCGTAAAGGTCAGCAAATTTAACATTTATCTGCACCCGGTGGTCAGAGCCCTGCGGACCAGAAGAACTGCAGGGTCATTTTAGTTTTCATTGCAGGGTTTGACATTTGGTTTTAACTGACTGCAAACCTGAGTCTAGCTGATCACACTGAGCCGCCCACTGGGACAAAGACAAACCTTTTTCCATTACCTTCCACTAGTTAGACCTTCAGTTAAAATACCCAGTGCTATATTCTTAGTTCTCTGTACAGCTCAGTGTATTTTAAAAGATGCTCCCTTGTTGTGGTTTGATCACACCAGGGAAACGTATGGATAATCTGTACGAAAACTGATGGAGCCTTGATTTATTCTGCTCTAGTTTTCCAGTCTGTCCATCGAGGACCAGGAGAACTTACAGTTTCCTTACGCCATGAGGGATCTGCCTCCGGCCCCGAACCCTGCCGAACATCCCAGGATGCCAGAGCAGCGCGAGGCAGAGGGAACTCCCATAGCAACCAACGGGAGGCTGCCCGGCGGCTTTCCCGGGACCCCCCCTTTGCCCCGTCCCACCCCATCCACTCCCGTGGGCTCTCCGACAGTCCCCCCCAGAGCCGGCCATGCAGGGCGGGAGCTACAGTTCCAGCCGCTGTCGCTGAGGAGTCAGTTTGTTTCTCAGGTTTCTCTGGAATCTCCACTCAGTCCCGCCTCGCGCCCACGCAGCCCCTGGGGACGCTTTGACCCCTACGACTCTCCAGAGGTGGGTGCTGCTTTTGTTTTAGCGTTACAAAGAGTGTGAATGGGCTGTTTTTTTTTCTTTGCTTGGATCGCTGCTACCTGACTGCTGCGGCGCCGCACACACGTTAGTGTTGCGTTTATGTTTGTGCCTTCCATCTGCAGGATCAGGATAAGGAGTATGTGGGTTTCGCCACATTACCCAACCAGGTTCACAGAAAGACGGTGAAGAAGGGCTTCACCTTCACACTCATGGTGGCAGGTGAGTTCCCTCTTTAGGTCTGCTAACTGCTCAGCTATGGTATACAACTCCACTTCTGCTGTCACAGTGACTCCATTTGGATTTTTAGAAGAACTTGAAATGCTGCTATGTCCAGTTGGAGCCGTTCTATTATGTTGTTCATACTGTATGTTTGGAACATTATTAGGAGCTTAATGTTCTTAATCAGAGGAATTCAGATGACCCACAGAGGGTTGTAATGCCTTACTTTATTCTAAAGGAGAGTCCGGCCTTGGAAAATCCACCCTTATCAACAGTTTGTTCCTCACGGACCTCTACAAAGACAGAAAGGTTCTCAATGCAGAAGGTGAGGTTGCTTCTACAGTATGTCTGCGTAAATGTCCTCCAGCTGCCTTTTGTTTGGTGGAAAGTTCCTTGACCGTTTTTGAGTGCGCTGTCGTCTGCAGAGCGGATCAGTCAGACGGTGGACATCCTCAAACACACCGTCAGCATCGAGGAGAAAGGGATCAGACTGAGGCTCTCCATCATCGACACGCCGGGGTTCGGAGACGCCATCAACAACACAGAGAGGTGATGACACCAGGACTTTAAATGATGAAACACGTATTCTGACCAGCGTCACCTTTAAAATGTCTGCAGCAGCTTTGTATTTTTTTTTTTTAAATCACGGCAATGTTGTGTGTTCGCATCAGCTGGAGACACATAGAAGACTACATCGACCAGCAGTTTGAGCAGTATTTCAGAGACGAGAGCGGGCTGAACAGAAAGAACATCCAGGACAACAGAGTCCACTGCCTCCTCTACTTCATCTCTCCGTTCGGCCACGGGTGCGCTGACCGGGCGTTAGGCCTCCACCTGTGACCACAGCAGGCGACCTGTGCAGAGGTCTGGGGCTCACATCCGCCTGTCTGTGCTCTCCCTCTCAGTCTCCGACCCATTGACGTGGCGTGTCTGAAGGCCTTGCATGAAAAAGTCAACATAATCCCGCTGCTGGCCAAAGCCGACAGCCTGACCCAAGCCGAGGTCTGCCGGAAGAAGATGAAGGTATGAGAGCAGAAAGGACAACCATGTCGGTGAGCTTGTTCTAAGGGGGATTACCCATCAGTCCACTCACTGTTCAGAGATAGCTTTCAAATGAATAAATCGTTGTTATTCTTCAAACTTAGATTTTGACTTAGAGTTTAAACATCTTAACCTGCCTGGGTCTGTCTGTGTTTACGCCCTCTGTGTTTTTTTCTGCCTCGTCATTGCCAACATGGCTCAGATCAGAGAGGAGATCAAGAGGTTCGGGATAAACATCTACCAGTTTCCAGAGTGTGATTCCGATGAAGACGAAGAGTTCAAGACCCAGGAACAGATTCTCAAGGTTTTGCATTTAATGGCCGTGGTGTGACTGTGCCGTGTCGTGGGTCCAGACGCTGACATGCGCTGGTCTCGCTCATGCTCCCTGCAGGACAGCATCCCGTTCGCCGTGATCGGGAGCAACGTGCAGGCGGAGAGCAAAGGCCGCAAGTTCAGGGGTCGGTCCTACCCGTGGGGCGTGGTGGAAGGTAAGGTCCCGCCGTGAGTGCAAGCACACACACCCGATCCCCTCTGTCTGCACGAGACCAAACGCACGGCCTGTGTGTCCCCCGGCCAGTGGAGAACCCCGCCCACTCCGACTTCCTGCTGCTGAGGAACATGCTGGTGAGGACGCACATGCAGGACCTGAAGGACGTGACGCGAGAGACCCACTACGAGAACTACCGGGCCGAGTGCATCCAGAGCATGGTGCAGGAAAAGAACCGCAGGTGGGCGGAGCTGGCGGGCAAAAAGGGGTTAAAAAAAATCTAATAAGTGGTGGACAGCAGAAGGAATCAGTCCAACATGCTGCTGTTTTTCTGTTTGTGGCTGAAGGCACTGAGACAACTCATTCTCTTACCAGAATATACGTGTGTGTGCGTGTGTGTGAACATGGGCTTTAGTTTGCACGAGAGGTACGGAGAGGGGAGTGTGGCGGATTTTCCTCTTCCGCTCGAAACCGTCGACACCGAGAAGGAGCGGCGGATCTTGGAGAAAGATGAAGAGGTGCGCGTCTTCCTCTCCCGCTCGCTCTTTCAGTCGCTCAGCGGCTCAGTGCCGGAGGTCATCAGTACCCCTCTGTGTTTCCTCCCCTGTAGCTGAGGAGGATGCATGAAGTGCTGGAGAGGATTCAAGAGCAGATGCACCACAGCCAGAGAGGCAGCTGCTGAATCCCCCACGATCCCCTACCGCCGAGAGGACAGACGAGGGAGGCAGAGGAGGCCCCGATGAAGAGAAACCAGTAGAAACCAGCCATGTGGAAACGGGCCCGTTTGGGCCATTTTGGAGGGAGAACCTTCCAAACCAGAGGAGCTCAGTGGATGTTTGTTAGCAGTGTTTGTTCACCTTAATGTCCAGTGACATTTGGGCCGGGGCTGAAGAATGTTTAAATTTTAGTAGTTTAAATGACAAAATGTAGCAGGTAGCACTTGTTTAGGATTTAGTCCATTCAGACTGAACTCCTCTGGCCTCTTTAACTGGAACTGTGTAAATATTCCTCTGTGCTACTTTACCAGTAATAATCCTCATAATGGACTAGTCTTCCAGCGGTTAACGTAGTGATGTAGGCTTTTATATGCTGGTGGATTACATTTTTAATGCTTTGTTACTTGAGTCAACTTGTCATTTTCTATCTTGTATCTTTGTTGTCGCTGTTCGTTTTGTAAGGACAAGAAAGTAAAAAAAATAAAATAAACACAAAACAATGCAACTTGAATGTTGAGTTTCACTCAGACAGGAGCAGGATGTGTTGTAAATGTAATAAGATTTATTAAGAATCTTTATTATTCCATCAGCATAATTCTTCATCATTAATGTTTTATCCATAATCATCATTGTTATCTTAAACAGTGGACAGTTAGATCTAAAAGGCAGCCCAAAGTGTACAGGCGATATATAACTTAAAACTTTCTCCATAGGGAAAACATGTTTTTATATTCATATATAATATCAATGTAGCATGAGGTCCAAGATTCTGCCCACGTTATACAGTATTGTACATGGTCCCAGAAATAAAGATAAAAACAGAACTTTTGAAAGAGAAAGGAACAAAACTGCAACCTACATGCAAAACAAAAACCAGAAAGAAACAAGCATTTAAGATGCATACACTCATATGCTGAAACATGCGTACAATCACAAATTTACAAAACTCATACATACAAATATTACAAAACTCAAATTTAATATTAGACATTATGCTATTGAGAAAAGAGCAACAGACTTCTTCGTTATTTACTTTTTTTTCCACTCCACGTCTCACTCCAACTCACAAAATAGAAAACTGAAAAACATTTAAAAAAAACAAAAAAGAGAAGGACATTATTTCTGTCTCTTCCATTCACTCCATGTGTACGTGTTCGGCCAGAGTTGTCACAGTGTTTGGGGAAACCGAGTATAGGCACACACGATAGCGTCCGAACAGGCTCATTCCATAAATCACCTCTGTGTAAAAAAATAACCTGCTAACAGCCACTCACACTCCATCATGCACAGGCCAAACTGTAGAACCCATAAAACAGCCATGCTACAGGTACGATAGGATTAACTATAGTACAGAATATAGAAAACATAGTCACATGTACAGACGCAGGGAAACGGCCGGGGTGGGGGGGGGGGGGGGGCCCCTCTTTTGGGGGGGGCGCGGGGGGTGGGGGGTTCCCAAACCCCCCCACACTTCCAACTGGGACAAAAAAAAAAAATCTTTTCCTTTTCTTGCTGGACTTTGACTTTTTATTCCAGAAGCTCACCTTCTGCCCTATTTTTTTTCTTCACATGAACCAAATGTTTCTCATCCAGTTAAGCTAATCATAACTCAAGTGCTTCTGGGGATTTCTGCAGCTGTCAGACCAGACCACTGCGTGTAGATTTAAAAATAAAAGAAATGAGCTTTCTGTTAGGGGGTGCAGTGCTGGTGTGGTGCAGCAGGGGGCGCTGCTGCTCTGGGCAGAGGAGGGACAACACCAGCTCCAGAGGAAGCCCAGTGTCACTGAGTGTCAGAGAGCAGGTCTGGGGCCGTCGAAAAAAACTTTGTGTGCAGTTTTTTTTCTTTTTTTTTCCTTTGCTCGTGACCCGTCCACAACGGAGCCTCGTGCGCCCGTGATAAATGCTGAGTCGGGGAATCTCCGGGCAGCCGCAACTGGGAGTCAGAGCAGAGAATCTGTACATTTCCTGCTCTGGTGTGACTCTGATCTCTCACAGAAATGACATCCTCAGGTGTTCTGACTGTAGGGCCTTTAAAAATAACCCCGTCTTTAAAATAAAGTTTCTCAATTGGTACTACTGACAAGAGTTTTGATCACTTAAAAAATAGATATGTATATAAACATCTATCTAAATGAGCCTATCTGGACTCGGTGTGATCAACCTACAGAACCTTATTTTAGGTTTATAAACCTTCTCTTTGAGGAGAAAAACCAAACAGCGGCTGCCTGAATGACCTCATATGTGGAGTTCCTCTGCAGAGAATTTAAGAAGGCCACTGTTGCACCCACCAGCAGAAGCTAACGGCAAAGCAGAGATCCCATCTTTCACTTTTTTTTTGTTTTTTTGCTGATCTGGTTATATATCTAATGGTTTTCCCTCCCAGGGGAAAGATTCTTTACACACAGAAGTGTCACATACTGAGTGGAGAGCTGGGAAGCTAAAGCTAAAAGGCTCCAAAGCGCAATTTGGATCTTCCATTTGCTCTCTCTGTACTCACTGTGATCTACTTCACACCTGATCAAAACGGTGTGTGTGATGATTGGAATACACAACCGAACCCCCCCCCCCAGCCCCCCAGCCCCCCCACCGGCTGCTCTGGAACACCACAGTGACGTTTAGCCTCCAGTGTCTGGTCAGACCTTTAGAGCGTTCTGTGTTGCCGCATCAACAGCCGAACTCTCACGCGTTTCCCTAAACAAGTGGATCAGTGGGCAAGGGAAGTCCTTGATGCCTGAGTGTGAACTGAGCTTATTATGTTAGTGCTTCTGGTTACAGAGGAGGGGGGGGGGGGGGGGGGGGTCCAGCGGGGTTCCTGTGCAGTGGAGGCAGTCCCATTTTCCACAGACAGGCCGCACCCGCCTTAATGTTCACAATCCAGCCGCCACTCCGAATACCCGGCCAGATATTCGGCCAGGGGAAGTTCCCAGAGAATCTGCTGATTTTGCCGGTCACGGGTTTTCCGACGTCCGTTCCCGACGGGAGTCGGAAAAGTCAGCCGAGAGTTCCGAATCTCTCAATCTCAAAATTCATTTTCAGTCAGCTGAGTTCTGTTTAGTTTAGTTTTTTCCCTCCGGTCTTTTTCTCAGGCCAGTTTGAGCGTGCTGACTGGGAAGGTGGGGACTGTCACCATGGTGACGGGGTTGAGGACAGCGGCCTGGCCGACCAGCTGGGGGTGGGGGGCCAGCACGGCGGTGGGCTTCCCGAGCGGCGGGCCGCCCTGGTTGACCACCGCCGCCGCGGGGGCGCCGTTAGCGGTGGGCGGCGCGGCGGGCTGGACGTGGGGCAGCGTGTGGTGGGTGAAGGTGTGGGTGATGTGGCCCACCACGGTGGGCTGGGACACCGCCACGCCCTGCGGGTAGAGGGCCGGCAGGTGGGACGCCAGCGGAGCGCCCAGGTGGGCCACCGGGTGGACGGTGATGTGTCCGATGGGCTGGGCGGTCAGCTGCTGGTGGGTGGCGGCGGCGGGGGGGGCCGCCGGGGCCGCCGTGAGGGGCTGGGGGGCCGGCGGCGAGGGGCCGGGCGAGGGGGCGATGTGCGCCAGGTGCTTGGCCGGCAGGGCGTGGTTCACCGCCTGGATGACCGACGGGTGGGAGACGGCGGCGTGGGCGATGACGGTGGGCTGGACCTGCACGGCCGGGGGCTGGAGGGGGTGCGGGGGCTGCGGGGGAGGAGCGGGGGGGCCCGGGGCCGGAGCGGGGGCGATGGCCTGAGGGGGAGGGGGACCAGCGGGAGAGGAGGCGGTCAGGACTCCGGAGAGAGGCAGCGCGCTGTGGTGGATGGACAGGTGAGGGCCCAGCAGCGCCTGGGCCTGCAGGATGGGGGGCGGCGGGTTGGGAGCGGGGGGGGCCGGCAGGTCCTCGTCCATGTCCTGCTCGTAGTTGTCTTCTCCTTCTGCGGGGGGTGGGAGCAAACCAGCGTTAGGGCAGGCGGCAAAGGCAACCGCTAGGCGGGTAGAGGGCTTAGCCGCTAACCGCTGACCGCTGACCGCTGTGCGGGCGCTCACCTGAGGCCGTGGAGGTGGACGCCTGGTCGTCCTCCGGCTGGATGGTCTGGCGGAGCACGCGGTCGATCTCCAGGACGTCCATGCACTGGCTGAGCTCGTTCTTCAGCTCGGCCAGCCGCTGCTGCGTGGCGATCTTCTCTCTGGCCAGGCGCTCCATCTCGTGCTCGTACTCCTTCTCCTTACGCTTCAGAGTCTTCCGGGGGGGGGGGGGGGGGGGACACAGGCAGCAGAGAGCACGTGAAAGCCCGGACAAACCAACTCCTGACCATCATCCACCTCTAGTCAATCTACTACATTCAGAGCAGACTTTTTTTCCTTTGCTTGAAAGCCTAAAATGGGACGCTTGCTGTCTCTCTGCATCAAAAATATCATTTAGAACTCCTGGTGACGTACCAAAAACAGACAGAATCAGAGAAGTAAAAAAAAAAAGAAAAAAAGAAACGACACTGCGACACAAAGAAGATTCAGGTTCATCTTTTTTTTTTCTGTCTGTATTTTAAACTAATCTCACCCCCGCTGTCCCGGTCTCACACACCAGATGCCCGGCTTTGGTCGCCACCATAAGCCCCGCCCCTTTCCTCAACGTCTCATTATGTTTTCGGAGTCGTGAGGCGGAAACGCCTCCCGTCCCCTCGCAGCCACCGCTGGATTAATGCCTCAGACGTCTAAATAAAGAACGCGCGGTGCCGTAACGCCGCAAGCTCATGCGCGTTTCTACTTTTTTTTAAATGAAACGATGAGGAAGCATTGCTGAACATAAAAGAGAGGACAGCCAGCCCAGAGATTTGAGAGCTCTCCCCAGACCGACACGCCATCTCTGTGACCCAGTTTCTGTGTGTCAGCTGACACGCCAACACCCAACGGCCCGACCGGCTCAGGGCATTAGCACAGATTACCATCAGGAATAAGATACAGGGAAGGAGAGGAAAGGGGGGGGGATATCGGTCAGTAAAGGAGGGCAGGAGATGGAGAGCTCTGCCCTGATGAACAGAAATCCATCAAGAAGTTTTTTTTTTTCTGTGCAGCTGCTTGATTTCATTACAGTGCTGGAAAATGAAGATCAAGAAGTGAGGGGGAAAAAACTCCTTTAAGGAAGCGTGAAAAAAAGGTTCAAAACACAAGGCAGTCGACGGAAAATGAGCATATGAGAGCACATGATCTTACTACAGGTTCCTCACTTCAGCGAGCAGAGCCGTTCCCTCTGCAGGCACGTGAGGGCCCCCCCCCCCGCTCTGTCCCCCCCCGCTCAGCTCCTACAGACCCCCAGATAAACCCAGCACACCAGCAAAGTGGGAGCATTTCGATATCCTCAAGATTTGGCAGCCTGACTGCATTTCCTGTGGGCTCTGGTAACAACTGAACCCCCCACTGTGGGATCAATAGTTAATCTAATCTGTTTAAAGACAATAAATAAAGTGTGGCGTGACTGTGTGTGGGAGAAGTGTCAAAGTCTCGAGCCCTCGACACAAAGCATGCAAACTCTTCCCGGGAAGTCTGAAATGATGTTTTGGGACAAAAGACAATTTTGAAAGACTACTTTTTAAGCCAAAAAGTCACCTGGAGTTATGGTTGCAATTTACAGCTATAATAGTTTTTTCTGAAGTCAAATGCAGTCTGCCAGTCAGCTGGACAGCTCTCTCTGTCTGAGTGAGGTGAGCACACGGCAGCATCTAAAGACTCTAGTTCTGAGAGGCACATGGACATAAAACGACTGGCCAAGCATTGTTACCTCTTTTTATTTTCTTAATTTTATTTAACTAATGATATGATTTGATACTAATACAAAAGCAAGAAGAAACAGTTAATCAAACCCAGTTCGGAGGCCTGGGCGACGTCATAAACTGGCTCCTTAAAGTCCCTTCACTGGTGGTTAGAGCCTGAGCTGGTGTGTGGGGGGGGTCAGTACCCATTGGCTATAATTGGGCTCTCTGAACAGGGTGGGAAACAAAAACCCAGGACAGGACTCTCATACTCTGGAGCTTCCATGAAAAAGCTCACGATCAGGTTCCTTAGTGGACACCAACTGGGAGGAGGCCCCAGATATGGCTAGAGGGATTACACATCCTGTCTGGCCTGGGACTGCCTGGGTAAGTGTCACTGAGAGGATGTCAGGGCTACATCCTGACTTCGAATACACAGATGCAAAGGATGGATGGATCAAAGCAAGAAGCAACAGCAACAGGGTTTCAAGTTTCTGCTTCGGAGGAATGGCAGATTCAGCATCATCTGAAGCTGAAGAGAGGGGAAGACAAAAGGGAATAGGCTGCACGACACTTTCTCAGATACGAAGAGCTGAAAATGCACAACCTGAGTTCTGCAGTGCACACTGAAGAAGTATTCTTTTGTTGTTGTTTTTGGCATAATCTGTCACCTTCAATATTCAGAAAATACTCAGCACGATGAAAGAACTACATTCGTTTCATGCTAATGGCATCTTTGTCCTCTGTGTCATTTTTCCCTTTACTCAACACATGGGCGGCATGCAGCATTACGTCACCCACAAATGAGCTACAACTGTTTTTCACGTGCACGTGTGCACACACAAACGTCAGTCCAAGGTCTTCCATTACCAGCCCAGACACCACTAGTCCTGCAGTAAATCACCACGGAAACAGCTGCCACCCAGAGCGGTTTCCTTGACAACCTCACTTGTGAGGATCTGCCTGCTTGAGCAGAATCTTGAAAGGGGGGGGGGGGTAGAAAAAAAGCAACACATTGAGTCTTCTAATTGAGTGAAGCACAAGGGCACAAACAAAAGATGATGTCACTGGATGCACAACAGTTGGGAGGATCACACCCAGTGTCCTCTTTCTCCTCTACGGTTCCATCCCACACTCCTTCCCCTCTTCCTCCCCCCTTCATCTGCCACCTCTGTACCCACGCCCCTCCTTTAATCCTCCCCTTCCTCCACAGCAGCTCGGGCCCTTTTATTCCTCCTCTTTCGGCCCTTCCTCGCTAATAAACTAAAAGGTGAGAATCTGGCTGGATGATATTTGCTCTGACAGGTGTCCTTGCCATTGCCGCGTTCCACTCTTTGTCTGCGACGACAAAAAAAGTGGGGCACGTGCGGCTGTCGGGAGGGAGGGGCCGGCCGAATCCTCCGAGCCTCCGCCGGCTAAACGTCATCCAAAACATTTGACCAAAACACCAACATGAGCCTTATATCACACAAACACAAGGAACCAGCCGGCTACGGCGCCCTGGCAACCTGCCGCCTGTTACTATGGTTACTAAGTGTTCCTAGGGGGGAGACAGCGGGGTGACACAGAGCAAGATGGACAGAGGCGAGGGGATGAAATAACACAATGGAACTGCTATCGCCATGGGAACGCGGCTGCACCGCCGGTGAGGACGGCACCTGTCACCCCCCCCCCCCCCTCCCTCCCCCTCCCCCGGTGTAGGAGCTGAAGGATCAGAGCGGGGACGTCATCGGGCTCGCTGTAGCCATGTGCTCGGAGCTCACATGGCTCGGGGAGAGCAGCGCGGGTTTATGGGTTTAGAGGAGATGGGGAAAACACAGGAACGGAGGGGGGGCGCTCACACTCGCTCCAGCTGCGATCGGGGCTGGCAGGTCTGCGTGGTGGGGGGGGTCACGTATGAGGACAATGTGGCGTGTTCGGTTGGAAAAAAAATATATGCTTATTGGGAAAAAGGCCATAATGAGAACAGTTTCCTCATTTCGTGCAAACATTATCGCTTAAATATGTGCATCCACCTTTGCAAAGATGAAAGAAAGTTGTCAGCCACACCGTCCACCTCCTCTCTACGGAACCCCCCGAGATGGAAAAATACCACAAGCACCGTTGACATATCGCCTGCTGGCATTTAAGGCCAATGGCGGCAGATTACGCCGCTGCCTTTCTCTAACAAAGAGGAAAAAAGGCAGGAAGTCCTCACGCGTAGACGCAGCTCTTTTATTTTGGAATATTTCCGCAGGGCCATCTACCCGCGTGGAAAACGATGGAGTATTGGACGACCCATCCTCCCGTTGTTCCTTCTTAATCATAACACGGGGATGCGTAACATGGCTTCATATCCCTCTGAGCTCCTCTCCCCGGAGGTTGTTTGCCCCCGTGCTGTCAAGCCTTGTTTTGAACAAATGCTCTCTTCTCCCGGCCTAATTTAACTTTCCATTGCGTATAGCACCGTGACTCAAAATATCAACGCTTCCAGTCAAAAAAAAAAAGAAAAGAAAAAAGCACCACTGCATGGGCTGTTGCTCAACGCCATTTTAGGACTGAAAACTCAACATTTTGAACTTTACAAGCCCTCCTTCAACACACGCTCAGCTTCACGCTTTCTTTCTACATCGTACCACAATTCAGTAATTCCACACAAAATTAATACTCTAATTCTAGCTTCCTAATGTTTCATTCTTGGACAAAGCAGCTCATTTGCTGTGGGCGCTACAACATGAATACTTCATGGGGTTGAACACGTGTTAACAATTGTCAAACCGACGCCACAAGAAAGGTAGAAGCGTGTCCTCCGAGTGTGCAACAGAAACCAGAAAAAGTCCTTACAGTGTGCAGCTTTGGGAGAAGAGAAAGTTGGATTATTGCACCAGTCTCACATAAGCGGATTTACCTCCATTTATAAATAGAAAGAAACACTGCAAAAAAAAACAAAAAAAACACAAACCACAATTTACAGCAGAACTGAACTGGAATCTGTACCAGTGACAAAGACCAGTGCTTCCCCCCAGATCAACAATTCATTTAGGGAAGACATACATGAAAACAAGCCCATGAAAAAAAGGAAGTGAGCTTTTTTTTTTTTTTCTTTTCTTCGACAGCTTGTCTGAAACACTGAGAAATTGCATGGAAATCCTCTTTACCTGTATGTAACGCAATGCACTGCGTAGCACGCTGAGGTTGGAGGTTTTCTTCTCATCAACATTAGGAACGTTCTTCTTCAAAGTCTCAAAACACTCCTTGAGGTGTGCTCTCCTGGAGAGTCAGAAATAAAGTCACACTTTTTGGAGCTGCGGCCAGCTGTGCACATACTCTGCCCAACAGTTTGAGAAGTTAAGATGTAACCATTCACAGACACCTCAGTACCATAGATTTGTTTGGGTGGGCTTAGACTGCTCTCTCCCAGCTGAGGAGAGGCCATGGACTTCAGCCCTGTGGGGCTCCGTCATAGCAAGCTCCACAGTCAGGATCCTTCCTGATTATTTCAACCAGCGGCAACAGTAAAAAAAACATTCCTGTCATCGTGACTCACCTGTTCTTCTCCAGTTTGTTGTGAACCTCTCGGGTCCCCGCGCTGGAAACACAAAACAAATGGAAACATTCACTAGGAGTCACTTTTACAGCATCTCCACACAGACTGTTGGAGAAACTCACCCTCCAGGCCTCCTCTTCCCCTCCATCCCCCTCAGGTCCTCTATCGTCACGCCGTTGGGCCTTGGCTGAGGCGTGGGTGGAGCTTGGCGGGCCAGCAGGGCGTGATGGGAGCCGTTAGTGTTGATGGAGGCGGGGTACTGGATCTTGAGTTGAGGCTGCGATAGGCCGGACTTGACATCGATGACCTGCTGAGCGGGTTCCACTTTGATCTGGGAGGCGCACAGCAGGTGCTGGGGCGCCGGCGGCTGCAGCGGGGGCGAGGAGGCGCCCTCTTTTTTGAGCGGCTGGGGGCTGCTGAGCAGTGTCGCCGCGGCAGCGATCGGCGTTGCGAGCGGGAGGGGCGGGACGGAGGGGGTCGCCGTGACGACTGGAACCATCGGGATAACGGCGAAGGGGAGCTGGGCGGGTGGGAGAGAGGGGGGTGGGGGGGCAGGGGGGTGATGGGGCTGTTGACTGTGGCCATCATCGTTCCAAGCAATGTGGTTGGCTTTGATGG